CGCCCCTGGCCGGCCTGCGCCCTGTGCCTCGCCCCCTGGCCGCTGCTGACCAAGCCCAGCCTCCCGGGCCGCGCCGCCGCCCTGACATGTCAGCATGGAGATCCGGCAGCACGAGTGGCTCGCGGGCCCCCCGCACGAGGGCTTCGAGCAGATGCGGCTCAAAAGCCGCCCCAAGGAGCCGGCGCCCAGCCTGGCCCGAGTGGGCGCCAACTTCTACAGCGGCGTCAAGCAGCAGGACTACAGCGCCAGCGTCTGGCTCCGCAGGAAAGACAAGCTGGAGCACGTAAGGCCTGGCCCACGCCCCCTTCCTCTGGTGGGGTCCTCTCCTTTGCGCCCGGGGCGTTGAACCCCGACCCCACCCCTGGGGTGGTCGGGCTGTGAGCTCTGCCTGGCCAGGGGCGTGCTGCGGGGAGGGGACACAGGGGTCCTTCCCAGCTCCGCCTGCCTTCCCACCCACAGCTTGCCCTGGGGGCTCGTTTTGCGCTGTGATCCAGGGAGTGAGAAAAGGGGATCCCGTATAGCGTGATAGTGGGATTTTGAGGTATGTTTGCCAGTCTCTTTGGCGCGATCTCACTATGTCCACAAACTAACCAATTCACAAAGCCATGAAGTTGTCGCCACCAGCGACCTAACCCAAGCGCACCAGCCCTTGGAGTTTTCTGTTGAGTGGCCGCTGAGCTGGAATGAGCACTTGGGACTAAGCCTCTTTGCTTGAGCGACCAGGGAGGGATTTGGAAGGAGAAAGGGGACAGATAGAACAGACCTTCCCTTGAGACCTGCTACTCTGCAGGGTGGGAGCGGGCCACCAGGGGCCCCCACTTGCCAGCCAGCGCCTGCCTGCTTCATTCAGGGCTTTATTTGCTCTGCGTTCTGGAAGGAAGAAATCTCCCTGACCCTCCAAAAGCGTTCCACTGATGCACAGTTTTAAATGTGACCCATCACCAAATGTGGAAAGAAGGTGAAGAGGGATTGCACTAAGAGTTGTAACCTAGCACAGCTAGGTAAGGCAATAATGCTGTTTCTTTCCTAAGGAGCGGCATACTCCAAATTGAGTCTGTTAATGAAATATGGGGATTTCCTGGTATGTGGGTCATGTCTCCAATTATGATAAAAAAAGATAAAAACTCCTGGAACTCGGCACACCTACTCGTAGAGGGACCTGAATCGCGTTTGCCCTCCAAGAGCTGAGCTGCCTCAGGCTTTGCAGCAACCTTGGGGTCCCTGGAGGAAAGGCCCAAGACTATTAGTTCCATACTACTGTGTGAAAGAAAGCTTGGTGCTTTTTATGGAGAGGAGAGTGGGCCTGATTAAGTCCAGCAAAGCTTTAAAAGCTAGAGTTGTGTAACAGGCTGTTTCTTCTGCAGAGAAGCATTTGAATGATTCTGATCTATAAACCCATACGTGGTACTCAAGGAGCTTTCCATAATGGCAAGATACTTGAAAATGGGCAGAGTCCAGTTAATAATGCATGCTCCAGTATTAGAGAGGAGACCTGTGGTGCTAGTTTAAGGGATATATGTCATTTTCATGTGATTTGGAACTTGATGGTGGTGTTATCCGATTAGAGTTGAGAGAGCATGATCTAGCCTTGGGATGAAGATGGAATGAATGTATATCTTCATTTATGTTTCACTCTTTGTGTTGAGAACCAGTTTATTTTGCTAATCTTTAATTCTCTTTCTGAAAATTGACAATGCACCCATCTATAGCTATGTCTTTTTGAGTGATAGCCATCAGACTCACCTCCTTTTTGAATGCTTTCACAGGTTTAGGTTTTCATTCAAAGTGTCAAGTCAGGTCTCGGGTGCTGACATTTCTGGATTAAGCCCCTCTGGAAGGTTAGAGACAAGTGACAGGAAGGTCTGTTTGAAAATATGTGCAAATCTGTGCTTGCTTCTTGACACAGATGCTTCAAAGGAAAGTGTACCATTCATTGAAAAATTAATCACTTCATTATTTACTGTTATTTAAATCAGCAGCACTTTTGCTGGCTTTCTCAACTTCTTTTCATGAGAAGTATTACATGTGTATTCTAACCTGATCTTTTTCTTCTCTGCCTGGTAACAGTTAGAAAGGGTAGCTTTGCTTCTAATGAACTTTTAAAGTGATAGTCTGTTACTCCTTTGAAACATTCATCCACAAACATTTCTAATGAAATAATTTTTATGAAAGTGTTATGAACAATTAATTTAGTGCTAAACTTAAATATTACTAGGAGCTAAACTGTGTATTTATATGCCACATCTTGTGAACATTATGATATTTCAGATAGTTTCTGATGGTATGTCCTAATGAAGTGTTTGAAATTTAAAAGCTTAGAAATAGATATAAGCTGATGTATCATTGCTACAAAACACGACAATGTAATGGTTGACCTCATTATAGGCAGCATTCTGAACAAATGTGGCTTCATCTGACTTAAATATTGCAGCAACCATGATAAGTGTGCCATGTGAAATTCAGAGTTGATTTATAGTAGGTAAAATATGCATTTTTTATCTGTCCAATGAAATGGATGGCCACCATGTTATTATGTTGGGAAAAAAAATGAGTGAATAATTACGATGGAGATCATGTTTCTGAAAACAGCCTACTCTGTTATTTTGGTGATACCTTAAAAACCAATTTAAGTATTAAGACCATAAATAAATAATGACTTCAGATGACACATGTATTCAGTCATCACAATGATGGGATTCCCTGAAATGAGTGGTAGCGTTGTGTGGACTTCATCCAGACTTCAGAAGCTTCACATTATCTAACAGCCAATAACTGTGTAATGTGACAGTTGGAACATATATTTCTACCTACTTCTCTAAAAGTCAGGATAATTTATCTTTCCTCCTCTCGTTTCAAAGGTACAGGGTGAATATACAAATAGGACAAGTGAACATTGACTTGAATTAGTCAAAGATTTGAATGTCGTTCTTATAGTTTATTTCTAATATTGGTAGATCAGTACTGAAGGTGAATACTCATTAAAAAAGAAACGATGTACTCACTGCCTTTGCATGGCTTTTGAATCCTACCTTTCCTCTTTTGGATTTCTGGATTTGTAAATCTTTACAGAAAAAGATTTCCCATCTTTTTCTCATAGAGCAACTGATGGATTTGAACCACTGAACTTTGTACAAGCATACTAATATGTTACATGCTTTACCACTGAAGTTTCAGTGGTATATGAGGTAAATTAGAAATTGGGAAATTTTAGGAGAACTTGGAAAAAAATTTTTAGGAAAAACATAAATTTGTAGCTAGAGATCAGCTGGCCCAGTGGACAGAAGGTGATGCTGCCAAGCTGAAGGTGGGTGACTTTTAATCTGCGGCCCTCAGGCCTGTCTTTCACTGTTTTAGTTCAGACATTCCTCTTGGTTGTATAGCCCTGGTGTACAAATTGCCATACAGCGGTAACTACACTGTGACACTGATGTGTCAAATGCGTTAATGGCTGGTTACCCAATGCGGACCGAGAGTGGGGTTGAGCTCCCCTATTAAAACAAGCTTGGAGGAGGAGTGGCATCCACTTCCTTAAGAGCTTGCCTCTGGAAACCCTGTGAACCTGGAGAAAGGATGAGAAACATCAAAGCGTTGAGGACTCTCCTTCATAGGGTCACTATGAGTCACCTGTGACTCGATGGCACTTAACAACAACAACAGCAACAACAACATGCTCAGAATATCATCTTATTAACTGCAAATAATGTGTTTGGCTGTTTTGCTTCCTGTTCTGCCTCATTAGAATGTGATTTCCAAAGGCTTGGGAAACAGTAGACTTCATACATGTACCTGTTAGTTCTCATTAAGCCAGTACCAAATCATAGCAACCCTCTAGGTGATATGAAGAAACATTTTACCGCTTTGTGTTATCTTCACATTCATTGGAATGTTTATATTTTAATTGCCTTTTCAACCTAGGGGACTCATCTTCCACCATTTTAAATTGAGATTTAAAAGGGAGCCTTATAAACTATAAATTTGGAAGTGGATCACCAGGCCTTTCTCCCTAATCACCCTTAATCTGAAAGTGCCTCTGAAATCTGTCCACAATAGGTGACCCAGCTGAGATTTGAAATGCTGGTGTCCGCCACAGTATGGCAAAATGGCAGGTGAGTGGTGGCTGCTCTATGTTGTGTTGTTGAATACTGTCAAGTCAGAACCAATTCATAGCTGACCCTCCACTGGGATTTCAGAGGCAGTAAATTGAACTGGAGATGATTGCCCACTTTTCTCTTGTGGAGCACCTGGTGGATTTGATGTCCCTTCCTTTGAATTGGCAACACAATTCCTTAATACTAAGCTGCCAGAGCTCCCCATACAATCCTATTATTTGCTTTAGGTATATTCTAAAAGTGAAGGACATGGTCTTGCAAAGTATGGGAATACTGTCACAGCAGTAAAGGACAGCTCCTCTACCCTCTGACCCACCAACCATTTGCCTGGCTCTCTGCGTGATTTTCCAGGTTGTCATACAGTAGGCTGGACCATCCACAACACATGGCATGGATCTGGTGTTCTTTGATAATGCATTTCATTTATGAATTTTTCTTTTACTGTAGTGTAGTTTTTCTTTTTACTGTAGTGGGAGAGCTGCAGAGCCTGTGATGCTATGTGTAAGTGGCCTGGTTTCATGCCAGTTTTGTTTGTAGAGGTTTCCTGGTGGTTGTGGTGACACTTTAAATTTCTTTCTTGTTCATTCAGTTGACTCCTGCCTGAGTGTGATTTAATACTAACACAGATCTGGGATTGGACTCCGACTTCATTTCTTAGCTCTGATTGTAGCAAAGAACTTCTGGTCACCAAGATGTAGTTCAGGCTTTTCCTTGAAGGTATGTGATAGTGTGAAATGAGTCACACTATTATCCAGAGGCCTTCTCTATAGTTTGAATCCACCAGGAATTTAAGGGAGAAAGATGGATAATCTCTTCCCATGCTATTTACAGCCTTTGAAACCTGCTGGGGTTGGGGGTTGGCTATGAGCTGGTTCTGACTTGAGAGCAATGAGCTAGTTAGCTGGTTTATCTACACTGCAGTGACAAAGAGTTTCCAAAGTCCAGATGTCAAACCCACCCTTCCCTCACACCTGTCACATGGCCAGAGGCTGGCATCACAGGTAACTGGCCTGGTAGAAGTTCCATCCTGACACAGCTTGTGATTACCAAGGCAGCTAAATAAGTGTGGACTCAGAGTTTCTGCCCGAGAATGATGCATTCACCCAACATACGCTCATTGGCCCAAGAAAGTTTGATGGCCAGAGCTTCCTCCAGTGAAAGTGGAAGGTGGGAT